TTCCAACCTGCCATAACCTTTTGCTTCAACCTTCACCAGGCCATCAATCCCAATGCATGGAACGACCTAATTCCACTATCAGACGAAGCTAGAGAAGATCTCAATTGGTGGTTGACTAACATTCTCCATCTTCCAGGAAGAAGTTGGAGGATAAAACCTATCGAAATCACCATTCAAACTGACGCCTCGGACCATGCCATTGGAGCAATCATCTATCACAATCAAGGAAGAACGAAAAAATTAAGTTTTTCTCTTCCTGATAATTGGCTGTCAACTTCTAGTACTCACAGATAACTATTCGGAGTTTTGTCCACCCTATCTTTTGTCCGTAAACGCTTCAACCTTCCATCAAAGGATGAAGCGGTTAAGATTGTTGGGGACAATGCAGGGGTAGTTGCATTACTCAAGAATTGGAAGACGCCAGATTTCAGAATGAATCACCTCCTTAGAAGGATTGCATCTATACTTCTTGATACCCAGGGGCAACTCAAACCTATTTGGGTTCCTCGTACTCTCAATGTTGACGCCGACTTCCTTTCGAAATGGCAGGACCCGACTGATTGGGGCCTCGCTCATCATCTAACTAAGCAAATTATAAGGAAGTTTGGAATGCCTTCGACCGATATGTTTGCTTCTCAAACTCATCATGTGTCCTCCTGTTTCATTTCAGAGATATGGTGTGAGGACTGCAACGACGTAGACGCATTTTCTTTGAATTGGCAGGAATTCCAGGCCGACTCATATCGATGGCTTTTTCCACAAGCATCCTTACTCTGCCAGGTAGTCAGAAGAATGAAGACGTTCGGAGGAGAGTACCTGCTCATCACTCCCTCAGCTCCAAGAGTGGCTTGGTCACCAATGGTAGCAGCTATGAGATGTTCTGGATCATTTGAGATTCCTAGCAAACCTTCTTCCTGTCTGCCAAGTTCCAGAGTACCCAAGAAGACTCTCAACCCTGACACTTTCAAGTTAGTAGCCAGGAGGATCTCTTTGACGGCAAGCACCTCGAGTATGGTATCCATATCCATACCGAATGAAGGATGAGAAACTTTTCCAAAAACCTTGAGTCAGCATTTGCTCCAAGGACCACCCACGTCGGATTCCCTCACGAACTCCTCTAACTCGGAAGCTATGACTACTTCCGGATCCATCCAAACCGGCTCTTTCAAACCACATTTGCAATCGCCAGTTGAAGGCATTAAGAGTAAGAGCCTTTTGCGACTGACGACTTCGAAATATGGATCCAGACTGAAGATTTTCACCTAACGCAAGGTAGCAACAACTCATCTCTTCGTACAACTCAAGGAAGGTGTCTCCAAGACCAGCAGGTTTCTCCAAATTTATCACTACAGACTTCCCTCTCCGTTGTGTCTTGGTATATCTTGGTTGCGCCATCTGTGTACCTACATCTATCTCATTACTTTCTAAGCGCAGACCTTCACCACCTCGCTGCCAACTTTCCCAAAGATAAGTCATTATGCATAGGTCCCGAAGTGATTCAGCATATTCCCAGCCTTTCTATGTTTTCATAAAGGTCCAAATGCAGTTCCGAATTTGATCCAACCTTTCTTGAGTCATGGGTGAAGCTTGTTCTTCATGAACTCCTAGGCGAACTGCCTTGTTCCGATATGCTCGACAATACATTCGCACACGGGACGATTGACAAGGATTCGCGGCAGCTTCTCGACCAAGGAGTTCAAAGCATCGACTAAGATTACTGATATTTCCTTCCAGGGTACTAACAACAACGAAGTTTTGACCATTTCGATCCTTGGTCTTAGATTGACCCAGCAAGTCAGGAATCAAGCACCCTTCCACAAAAGCTAGAACATCTAAGTTAATACAGTCACCTAAATTTCTCCCAACTCCTTTCTGATCCAACCATTGATTCAAATTCCACATCAATCGTCCTCGTTCTCGATCAGTGTTTTCTCCTACTCCATGGTCTGCGATCAATTCAACACTTTTCATAAGTCCTTCTTCATATGAGCCTCCTGAAATGCTCTTGCTCTGGGAAGCTCTCTTTATACTCTGTCCTAGAAGCCGCTCCAGCCACCACAACCTGCAATCATTTTTGACTTCATTATCATTCGAATTCCATTCTCATTTCATTTCAGTCATCTGATGCATGAAGAGTGATGAACTTTGGGTTGGTTAGGAGGTGCTGGGCCTGAAACCAGGGCAATTGTTCTATGGAAACCTCCTAGTTATTATTGATTTTGACATTCTGTACTTTGTTTCTTGTTGGATTCTCAATCTCCTATGGATTTAAGGTCCTCAAAACCTCCGAGCATCATTAAGGGGCGTAAAGCAGAAGTTCTGATTGGACGAGGATTTCAGCGGCATTATCTCCTACAGTCTGCAGTTCAGATTGGGACCTCACCTTGGTTCTTGTATGGGGCCCAGAAGTGGGGCCAGCTCGGATGGCACTGCTCCATGATGAGTACTCTTTGCTATATATGGATAGTAGTCTAGAGTACTCATCACGCTTTGTTTTTCCACTTCGCCGCTTGCCGCACATGTTGGACTTAGTGGCATGTTCCTGCACGGTGAGCGACAAGCTGTGAGTTTCACTTGGAGGTTTTTCCCCGTCCCAAGAGGAAAAAACATTATTTTCAGGGCTCCCACCCACCCCTTATCCCTCGGTGCTGGGCCTGAAACCAGGGCAATTGTTCTATGGAAACCTGCTAGTCATTATTGATTTTGGCATCTTGTACTTTGTTTCTTGTTGGATTCTCAATCTCCTATGGATTTGAGGTCGTCAGGACCTCCGAACATCACTCGAGTTCCTCTCAACCGTGGCACTCTACCACCCTCCTCCCCAAGGTGACCTCCTGTGGTTTGAACCATGAACCGAGATGCCCTGGTTCATTGACGCCTGCCTACACCCCCACTAACCTCCTTCTAGAAGCCAATTGGAAAATATCAGACCCCGCACGCCATTTGCAGTTTTGGAATGGATTGTAACCTTTTTTTTTTCTTTTTTTTTTTTGATTGTAACCTTTTCTATGATGTGAGGGACGCCGGACCCGTTTTTCGACTTTTATAATTCAAAAGCGGCAGTCGTATGAACCAAGCCGAAGTGCCTGGATCATTCGACACTCTGACCG